TTTAGGCTCCGCTACGGCTTCTTTCTTCTCGTGTTTCCCCGTATGGGCCTTTTCACCATGACTGGGAATTTCCGAATCACGGAATTGTAGTGGTATTGTTTTCCAACCCCAATCTCAGTAACAATGAGATCCTTTCCATGACCCCAATGTGGGAAGTTCCCATTTGGGACAGGCGTGTAACGCACGTTTACTCACAATGTTCAGGTGTTTGATAGTTTTTACGTTAACTTCCGAAAAAAATTGTCGACAATCCTGAATTGACTTTCCTGGGACCTTTACAACCATTCCCCCTTGGCTAAGAATCCCGCATTTTGAGGGTATTACTCACCTACATTACTGATGTGCTTTGTGGGTGAGTTGTGGGCGCAGTGACAGAATCGGGCATACCAGGTGCGTGGTCTGGGGGCTCCCGAATCGGCTGCGTTCCAAGAATACCAAGCCCTCTTTTCTCCGGGAGCAATATGTTCGTACGGGATTCCTTTGGAAGACAAAATACTGATTTTTTGCATCGATTAGCCTCCGTAAGCAATTCTGTGGACAGTATCGCATCCGCAATAGAAACACGATTCTGGATGGAAAGTTGATGCATGGCGCACCTCGTTGAATGACCCAAATCTTTATCTCTTATCTTTCCAGTGACATTTCGGACTTTGGGCTGAGCTTTTTGGCGAGATTTGGGCTCATTCGTTTATCATTTCCCATGGCTTTATTCTCATACCATTTCGTTGCTGTACGTGAATGGATGGCTTTTCAGTGTGGTAACGCCATTCAATTTTTTGATGGAAATTTGCCAATCTGATATTTATAAAGCGTTATAGTTTGCAAAGGTTCAGATTGTTCCGATTCTGTTTTCAAACCGAAGAGCTGTAATCACGCAAGTCCTTCTGGGTTCTTTTATCTCTTTTCTCTCCATTTTCTCTACTTCTCTCATCAAGCTGCAGCTTCGCGACAACGCTGTAAATAGGCTCGAGACTCTCGCAAGGAGTGGAGCATTCTGGTGGCATAGCTCGTCCGACTGCGGTGATCCCAGTTTTTCACACGCACTTTTCTCAAACTACCAAATTGTAAGAGCTGCAAGGTGTGGGGGAAGGATTGTGAGCCAGTGGAGAATTTTGCCAATATACGGAGAGGGAACTAAAGTTTTGGTAATTGTTGTCAGATATCCATCGGGTGCATGAATTCGCGTTCGCTGAAAGAGTGTAAATGGCGCTGAAAATTTTTGTTTGAGCTGTTGATTTTTCCCCGGTATTCAAGTCGCGTTATACTACCGCCACCCAAACGAAATTCAATGAATGAGGCGTACATTACAGAAGATGTTGCATGTAGAAGGATTTCAAATATGGGGCGTTCCTTTTGGACCCTTGTTGAGGGTAAATTCAGGGAGGGTGAAGCTTCTAGCACAGGGCACGTTCAGGATCCCCAGCGAAGCGGGTCGCAGAGTACTGTTTTTGGTTGTTGGTTTTCATGGTTTTTTCCTGTCTCACTGGCGCTGTGCCACTCTCCACCACCGCCCCCCGCTTGATGGCTGTTTTTTTTTCGTGGTGGGAGGGGGAGAGGGAATGGAGGAATTTCTGCATGAAACGCAAGATAGTGAGTGGTAGTACATTAGAGAATTCTCAGCGTAAATGGAGGGGGGGGGGTTGTATTCAACCTCAAACAGTGTTTCCCGTGGGTGAAACATTTGTTGCGATTACTTGATTTCGCAGATCTGCACATTTCGCAACTAATGTCAGTGCAAGTCCTGACTCTGAGGAAAATTACCGGAAAATAGACTCCCCAAGTTTTCTCCTATAATGCGACCCAAGCGACCCCCCTTCCCCACTCTACCCATCACTCTACCTGCCTAGGGGAAGGGGCGTATTTAGCACATGTGAAACGGGGAAAGTCGCGAAATGTTAACAGTCGGAGAAAACTTTCTCATGATGTGACAAATTTTTCTCCAGAGCAGATGCGACACTCTCCAACGACAAGCAAATAATCCCCCTCCCACTGGAATTCTCCTACGATGTGGATAACGCGCCTTTAAAATAAGAAAAATGAATTATTGAGAATTCTCGGAACAATTACGCCCTCCCTCCGCCCCCCCCCCCAACCGAATATAACCTCTCCGCTGGGAATTCCCTAACCTACGAAGTCCCTGTTTGCTACATACCCTTTCCGCCAACCTCCTTGGGGCGACATCCTCCCTCGACAGCAAATTTCAGGTAGAAAACGGGAAGTTTTTGGAAAACTGGGGAAGCATTGTACGAAGTGAGGAGAAGTCAGTGAGATGGTAAGCAGGATGGCGAAATGGGGATTCTATTTTACGAAAGTTTTGCCCATCGGCTTGAAATGCTGCGGCCGCCAAGGTTTCTATTGATCCGGGTAACCTCGTTTGAAGAACGCAATGCGTGTTAGGTAGTATTAAAAAGCACAGGTGTCCATAATGTGTGATGAAAAGTGTTCGGCATGTCATGTTACCTGCGGCGGCCTCGTTAGCACCGATGGCGGCCGTCATTCAGTTACTGGGGTTGGCGGCGACGTAGGTGAGATATTTCGTTGGCCAGTGCTATCGATTCCGTGGCAGCGCTGTGTCTTTGCGTCGTCGTTGCTTTTTTGCAGTACGTTGTGTCCCGTCTAGTTGCACATCCCCACATTGTAACATTAGGTAATAAATAGTTCGTGTCGGGCTGTCTATCATCGTCAATTCACGTCATGTGGTCGTTAAGGCGCTACTTTTACTTTCCGCAGCGCTACTTTTCACTTTTACTCAAGTAGATTTCTTCCCAGAGAATCAGTCTCCGCACATAGCGTCGTTACCGCAATGCTTTGCCCCGTCCTCATCCAGTACATGTGATTCACATCGATCCATGTTTGCCGCGAGTGCAGCGGTTTCCGTTTACGAGGCAATTTTTTTGTCTGCTGGGGCATTCGCAAAGTGGTATTGGAAACGCTCGTTTCGTCAGCACCGTTGCACTTTCACTAAGGCATGCTGTTAGCTTAATTCACAGCACAGCAATTCATCATAATACAACTTCTTGGGCCTTGTTTTTTCCTGAGTCCGATGTTTAGGCTGTGTCTGGACTTAAAGCTATTGATCCTGAAAGTTTTGACTCTTAGGGGATGAATATGGGAGCAATGCAAATACAACTCCCCTTCCTACCAATGACTGAATGCGATCTTGTATTTGGTCGCTGGAGGGAGAGGAGTCGCATCTGCTTTTGTGAAAAATGTTTTTGATTGTGTGATTTTTCCTGTTTCAACTACGCTGTATAAGCACACTCTCCTTTCGCCCCTTCAACAGGTTTCTGTGGGAAATAGGGGGAGGGCGAATTCTCGAAAAAAAAAACCCGAAAGTCGGTTGGAAAAAGGGTGGAATTAAGAATCTGGTAGGTGGAATTAGGGGGTGTTGAGGCGAGTGTTTTACCAGGGGAAGAAATTTCTAAGGGGGTCATATTGTAAAATTTTCCATAACTGCAAGACGTGCCCAGTATGGGAGGAACGCTTTGATATTACATGGGAATTGCGATCGAAAGGGTGGTTTAGAGTTGTTCGGCCACAGGGGTGGGGTGAGGGGGCGGCTTGCAGAATAAACTGCAGTCAAAGTAGTTGTAGATACACGTTTCAGAGGATATTTATATCTATGTGGTTACGGAGCGTTGGTTCGCGATTATATGAAGTATAGAATCCGTTTTTTATAGAATCCCGCTCTGCAGTCTCACACCTTGTATCGTTTTCATGGCTCAAAAGTTCCAGCGAAAAACATTCTTGAGATTCGGGGTTGTGGTAGTTGAAAAAGGCCAGGTATTTGAAGGTCTCTTTTTCCAGAAAATAGGTTACTTCGATGCGAAACCTCGAGGTTGAAATAACAGGATTTTGCTGGATTTTTTTAAAAGGACAGAAAACAAAACTCGTGTACTGCCTTGGCTGCCAGGATCGGAACCGCTTCCTCTTTCTTTGTACAAAAGGAGTGTTGGTCCACCTTGCAGCTCCTTTCGCTGATAAAATCGTCCTCTTCGTTAGAGCAGCAGCAGTTTTGCAGTTGCAGTCCGCTAACACACTCTCTCTGCTGAGTCCCAGTAAGTTCCAGCGCAGTTCCGCTGATGGGGGCACTGAATGGTACTGAGCTATGCTTGTAGAGACCACCTTTGTGGAGTTCTTGAATTCCTGTCATCAATGTAGCTCGTTTGCTCTAAGCTAGCAAAAGTGCAGAATGTCCCCTCTAAGCCAAACGGCGCCTAATTTCCCATAGGCTGTTTGCCTTGCCAGTCCATTTTTTATACACATTTTGTTTGAATGTAAATATGACATTTGTGGAAGGGCACGGTGTCAGTTAGCATTTCAATAGGGCGTTATGAGTACTTGAATTGTAAAGAGGCTGTTAATGCGAAAGATAAAAAAAGCAAAAATGTGAGCTTTCGACCATCAAGAGTGATTGCTGTCCTTTCCGTTCTTTTCATTCTGTAGTGCCTCTCGTATCAAGAAATTCTATACAGCTGTCATTTCGCATTAGTTGCAGGTGTTTTGTTCATAGGTTGTTTTGTATTTAAATGTTGTCTCGGACATTACGGTAATCACCAGGTAAAGGCGGTATCTATAGATCCCGCAATAGCAGGCAGCGGCTTAAAGTCGCTGCCTGCTATTGCGGGATCTTTAGAATCCGTTTCCTGCACAGGGCCCGGTCCATATTCTCGGTCTCGTTGTGTCACTTCTGCAGCTGGGAAGTGAGCCGTGCGACTGACAGGGGTCTGTCAGAGAGGTCAGACTCCGCCCACTTCGCTTCGTTTCACAGTCGCTGTATGGATTCTTGCTCGTCTGTGTCTTGTCTCGTGATTTTCTTTGCCTGCTTCTATTTTGTCCACTCGGTGTCTCTTTGCTGTAGAGTCGCATAATCCTTAACGAAAACAGTAGTTTTATTGAGGGCGTTTCCCGTGGTGGTAGCTCAATAACCGCATACCGATTTCTTTCTGAATTCCGACGATTAAAGGCATGGTCCGCGATCAGGTATCGAAGTTGAAAATATGGCGTCAGGAGGTTAGAGTGGTCCGCGACGAACAACCTTGTACCGGTTTCGCGGCAAAAAATTCTATGGGAGGGGCGCTGTAGCGCAATATAGGTTCAGTGGCTCCTCCTTTTTCCAGTGACTCCGCCTCCAGACTCCGCCCCTAATGACCGACTTCCAGTGAAAAATGAGATTGCAGGACGAAAAAGCATGATAATCGCCACTTGTACGATCGTAGAAATCTTATCGGTGAATCAGCCGTGCATATGAGGGCGTAGTTTTGGAGATAGAGTTGATTGGGCACGTACAAACTGGGATCGAAATGGGGTTCTATCTAGGGCAGGTGGCATGTTTTTGTGCTTTTTTTGTTCACAGTCGAGTTACTCAACCCCTTGTCGTCTATATGGAACCCCCTAATCCACCATCTGAGATAGCGAATAATCGCGGGTTCTGCCTTTAACAGTTGAACAGCTGTGGTCTGTGTTTTCAAAAGTGGTGGTTCGAGTTAGGGTTCTTTCGATGGAATTCTCTTGGTTTTTTTTTCCGAAATGCCCCCCCCCCCCATCTGGGAGACGGACAAGGGGACGGCGATTTGCCGCACCATCGCGCGCGGCAGCTCTTGCGACGGTGCGTATCAAATCCTTGATGTATCAGTCCATCAACTGCAGCATCGGAACTCGTGTGAATTCAAGCGTAGGCAAGACTCCATGTTAATAGAATCGGTATCGATATTTTCCGTCCCTTTAACATTCGAATTCAAATAGCGAGGCAGGATAACTCGTCTCGCGAGAACGGCATTGCTTGCCACGCCCATCAGCGCGGCTTGTTACGATTGTTTTGACACATTTACCCCCCCCCCCTTTTTTTTTTCATCTCCCCATGTACTTTTGGCTTTCAGCGGGGTCAGTGCAAACTTAACGCTTCTACTCCAAGGACACTAACGTTATACTAAGATCTTTTCTGAGGTTTCACTCAGCTTCCATCTGAGGACACGTGAAACGGAAGCTGTGCTACCTCTTCCCTTTCGACCGTCCCCCCCCCCTCACCCTCAAGAGGTCTCATTTGTTCGACTTTTCAATGAACTTTGATTTTCAATAACTTTTCCTTGAGATATCTTTTAGGACTATCGAAAAAATCTTTCAAAGTTTCACAACGTTATTGAGCATTCATGTAGTTTTGTAATTAATTTTCCTTCCATATTTGTAGTGTTATTTGCTCGTGGGCATGTTGTTGCTGCGGTTTTTGTCGCTATAACATTAGCGTGAAACGCTCGTATCTCGTGTAGTGCGCTAAACCACTTTCAATCATCGCCAATCGGCTGATTGTCTGCTGCTGGAGAGCTTATCACGCCAGTTAAGCCGTCTTCATCTTGATTTAATGCGTCACCATAGCTCTAGCATCAGGAATTGTAGGGGGATGTGTCTAGCTCGTTCAATGCTATGAAACGTAAGGTTCATCATGAACGCATTTATCGGAGAAATATTCGACCGTTGCTCTATATTTTGTCATCGACGTGTTCGTTGGAATTTGCGAGACCAGCTGCGCTTCGCCTGTGTTTTCTATGTCGCCCCTCCATGTTGTTGCCATCGCCTTCTTTCCTCAACAGCTGAATTCTTGATGCTAACCATTCGTCTTGTGACTTTATGCCATCGTTTAATTCAACGTAGTTCCAAGTGAAAATGGGCGCTACTTCGCTAAGGGAGGGGGGATTTCGTAAGGTCCTGCCATTAACTAGGCAGTTTTGTGAAGTCCTGTAAACCCGTGTAACTGGGCAATTTATGGAATCCTCTGAATTCCTGTAAGTGGACACTTTTGTAAAGTCCTGTGAGCTCCTGTAAACTTACGAAATGGTACCAGTTTTCGGATGTTGTGAACAACTAAAATAAGCCCCAAAATGTTCATCACACAAGTATTCAAATGTCCAAAAAACAACTCGAAGTTAGCTGGTATGCTTACAAATATTTCGCTTTCTAGAACCTTCTCTAGCGACATGAAATACTCCCAACAGTATGGTCTACTCAAAAAGACGTTACACTTGTGTCCCACCGGGGTCTGCCTGCTACTGCGCTGTAGTTGCCTTCATGAGTATCTGGAGTGTCTACACTGTAACAGCACTTAGACCGGGGTGGGAGGCTTAATAAACGCCTTTTCTGGTTGACCGTTAACTGCTTACAAGTACTTCAGGATTCTGGAGAAGGTGCTGGACAGCAGAATATCCGAAAACATACTGGAACTTTCAAATTTCTTCTGAGACTTTTGTTTCCTATGCAATGAATATTCTGGGAG